CACACGGTCAGAAACTTTAATCAAGCATCCCGAAGAGGTGAAAATCCGACCATGCGATTTCCACGCAGTACATCGTGGATAATGCGAATGCCAATAATACTGAAATTTTGAAATCTCATAATCCAGGAAGATCTCAATTAAAAAGGGTTTGTAACTATAGTGTTTCGAAAACACTTTGAGATGAACTACAAGAATATGTAATAAAAGATATGGATCCCCTTTTAAAAAATTCAAATCAACCTTGACATAACCTTCATGACGCCACCCAAGGTCAATCGCCCATGTAATACATTAATTCCCAACAACTTTCGCCTGAAACGTTTTTTAAATAATCACTTCCCTCGTTATTAAATTGAGTATATGGATAGTATGAAACACCCAGTATATATAATTTATAAAGATATATGCAATATCTTTATAAATCTTTATATATCTATAAGATACTTGCAAAATTAAATATCAAAATTCTGAAATATATTGTTTTGTGTATCAGTTTCAGAAATATTAAAAATTAAATGATTTCTATTTTAAAGAATTTAAAAAGACTAAATTTTTTTGTTAATATCTAAATTAGATGATTCATCACATATGAAAAAAGAAAAATGTATAGATTTTATTTGAAACTCTTAATATTGATGTGCTTACTTAATGTAAGACGAATAAGAATTATAATACGTAATCATAAATTGATGCTTGCATAAACTGTTATAATACGTTATAAGTCAATGTTGAATCAAATTTAGAAACAAACCGTATTTGCCTGCTGCATGTCTCTATTGATTATGTACTAAACATTAACACATACTATAGATTTGACAAACATAATTTATAAAAATTTCATTAATATATATTTCTTGTAGCAATTCGTGCCTATTTTTCTGAACATTTGTTTTAAATATTCATTTGTACATGGTTTTTATAAAATGCTATAATATTTGACAATAATATGAACAAATATAATACGGATATGCATTATATTGTTATTATTAAACAATCAATCATATTTCAAATATAGTAAAGTGTATTCAAAAATATAATGTTAATATTTTTTTCGGTAAATGTTGACAATAACAGAAACAGCTCCGATAATCTTGACCTTGACATATGTTGTCAAAATTATATGACTCAGCTGAGTGACTTCCGACAGATTTTACTTGGCGGTCGCTTTTCGTTAAAAAGTTATTAACAAAAAGTTTTAAAAATAACATTTTACTTCTGCTATACATATATACAGTATTAAATACGATTTTATACTTTCCTCTGTTTCTACGCGAAGCGACTCTCACCCCCCTCCCCCCTCTGCTTGGGGGTGCACGACTTCCACGGGAAGCGACTTTCACCCCGCCTTTCCCTGACTTTCACGCGTAGCGATTCTTATATTCCACCTCCTCCCTGCTTGGGGGCGCACGACTTCCACGCGAAGCGACTCTCACCCCATCTCCCCCCTGCAAAGGGGTGCACAACTTCTACAATTGTATTGTTGCACATGGGTTATTTGTTATAATTACAATTTAAGTTATACAGTTAAATGCACATTGCCAACTTTTTTTGTTAATAACTTTTTAACATAGAGTGACCGCTAAGAGTAAAATCTGTCGGAGTTTACTCAGGGTGATGACCTTAACAACATATGTCAAGGTCAAGATCATCGGAGCTCTTTCCGTTATTGTCAACATTTACCTTGTTTTCTTGTCCGAAATCAACTTTCAGTATAATTTCATTTTACTTATATATCTTATTATATATATTTTAAGGAATTGAAAAGAATAAGGACACTAGGAGTCAGGCGCAGAAGACGTCGCGCAAATAATATACTTATGAAGCGTGAAACTTCTTTATTCACTAAACGCGCTTACATGTTTCACTTTTGAGCCTTCCTCGGAGACAACATAAACTGACATAAACTAGCATATATAAACTGTGAATAAAAGTTATCCTGCCATGGTGAGCTCCCCTATATCAAGAATTTAAATGTCGGAATTAAAACCAAAAAGAATAAAAGAAAAAGGAAAAAGAAAAAAAGTTTTTTCTTTTACTCTTTTTGGTTTTAATTCCGACATTTAAATTCTTAATATAGGGGAGCTCACCATGACAGGATAACTTTTATTCACAGTTTATATATGTTAGCTTATGTTGTCTCTGAGGAAGGCTCAAAAGTGAGCCAAATCATGTAAGTGCGTTTAGTGAATAAAAAAGTTTCACGCTTCATAGGTGTATTATTTGCGCGACGTCTCTTGTGCCTGACTCCTAGTGTCCTTATTCTTTCCAATTCTTTGATTTATAAGGAGTTTTGGTTAGTTTGATTTGTTATACGTATATATATTTTACTTATTAATCTATTGTTATATCCTAAATAGTATCTATTGTTTCTTTCCAATACTACATTCAGTATTTTTTTGATGTTATTTATTTTTACACACACACATAGAGAAGACGTAGGGATTTTTAATAATATCTTCTTTTCTTAAATATAAACTGTTCGCTGTATTAAAAATACATTAAGATTAATATATTTCATGATAGAGTCAAGCAGAGGCGCATTTTGTAGATATTAAAATTTATGATATTCCTTGTACAATACATGTGTTAACGAAGTTTAATACAATCGCAAAATTTTATACACACACACGCATAGTATTCATTATTCATAAGCAACAAAATAAAGAACTTGATCATAGTATTGAGTAGTGACCTCGATAAAAAATTTTTCATGCGTGAATATGTATAAAAATACATAAATATTCATAACATATATAATCATATACGAAATATGTTCATACATCCTTCTTTCTTTTGTTACTTTTTAATGTGATAGAAATAATAATAGTGTGTAAATAAATTTTCGCATTGTTTGTTTTAAAACAAAAAACAAGTTTGTAAAAATGTAAAAAGATCGCTCATACACAATTATACATAATTTTATATATAATTATATATAAGTAAGTTTTTTACATTCTTTCAAGCTTGATTTTTTCTAAAACAAATAGTGTGAAAATTACTCTTTTATAATAATTATTTTTAATGTTTTCACATTACTATATTATTATTTCTATTACACTAAAAAGTAATTTTCTTTCGATCTTTTTACATTTTTACAAACTTGTTTTTTGTTTTAAAACGAACAATGCGAAAATTTATTTATACACTATTATTATTTCTATCACATTAAAAAGTAATTTTACAAAAGAAAGAGAGATGTATGAACAAGTATGGACATATTTTATATATGATTATACATATTTATGAGTATTTATGTACGTTCATACATATTTATACATATTTATACATTAGTTTTTACCGGGACATAGGTGCACATAACAAATTTTCACTTTTTTTATTTTAACGCAAATTATCACATTTTTGTTTTTATCAATGCATCTCTTCCCTAAAAATTTTAATATTTAGTAATATTACAAACCTTGTAAAGTACTAAGGTACAATGCATACATCCACATTTAGGAATAATTACTGTGTTGATCATATGGAGAAATAATAGGAAACATAAATATTTCTTATATTTAAATTCAAAGGAAAGGGACCACAGTACAATAAGTTAACATGAATTTATTATGTACAACACACTTCATAGTGTTTTTTAAGATTACGTTTCTAATTAAATTATTTCTAATTTATCTGTTACTTTCAAGATGTTTGTGATATTGGTCTAAAACAAAGGCATACTTATAATCACTACAATATAGCTGACAATGCAAAGGAGAACATGTAAATAAAATGTGCTTTGTCACAGATTTTCAATCTTATAAATTGATGTATATTTGTACGTGTAAATTAATAATGGCTCTAATTTTCAAATGCATGTAACATCAAAGAAATTATTTATTTTACAAAGAATTTCTTATTCTATGTTCAATTTAATAATTTAAAGAACAAGGCATGCATAGGCGTAAATTATTGCTTCAAAATTAAAGCACCTATTATCCTATATTACGCTTCTATTTATAAGATATGTAATGTAAAATTTTAGTAATTTCTTCAAATTTTCACACGGCCTTTTGGCTTCTGCACACTGAATGCGGAAACGCTTGCCGCGCGGCAAAACATGATGCGGTAATCAATAAGCTTACAGCTCCTAATGTGTTCATTGGTTACCGCGTCTCATTTTGCCGCGCGGCAAAACGTTTCCACGTCCAGTGTGCAGGAGCTTTAAAGAATCAACTTTTTCGTTTCATACAATGGAAGTAGAATGACAAAAGACAGATTTCTTCCGTTTTTTAAATCAAAATGCGGTCAATTCGTTTTAACGTGTGCATTAATATAATAAATTAATAAAACAAATAATTCGAAGAGCTACGAGCCAGAGATACAAACAAAGAAAGTATATTTTAAAACATTATAAATATGAAATTCCAACAGACAAACAAATGTTTCGACACCAATGTCCAACAGACAAACAAACGTTTCGATTCGATAATAAATTAAGAATAATTTTATATTCTCTCTAAATTGTATTTTTGTTGCACAACAGTATATTGACCTACAATTCATGTATGTGATAAATATGCATTAAAGAGAGAAGCAGTACAATCAAGTATGAGCATTATCTACAAAACATGCAAGCTTCTGTGACCAATTTCATTTTTTCTGTTCCTCTATAAAATCCAACACCAGACACTCACGATAAGACCACAGATTAGCAAAACGAATTGTGTGTATCATGAATATTATACTACTGTTCGTACTTATTGTGAAGATCAGTCTAGTATAAAAGAAAACTTCACAAAATATTTGTTTGTAATTAACCAATCTTTTTTTGTACTCCTTCGAACTGGATGTTTCACGATTTATGAAATCGTTCGAATATCCTGTTTTTTAACTAATTTTTAAATTAATAAAGATATTGCAGCGCAACATATTTTTTAATATATGTATTATTATTGCCACCTGTTTAAATGCTTTTCCTATTCCTCAATTATGTTCATCATTAATTACTGGAAATATCGTGATTTATTTTTCAAGAAAAGATTTTTTTATATTATTACATAAATTATTATTAGAATTTCATGCCGTAAAAATTATTAGATATTAAAATATAAGCATACAATGCTTTTATATGTTCAAGTAATACTTTTATAAAATTTGCTACAATTTGCTACAACACGCTACACAATATCTCGACATACAATATCACAATTAGAGATCTCTCTAATTTTCTGAAATTGGCACTGTTGTATTTAATGAACAATTTCTTATTTTGTCTATTTGTTTTAGCATCAATCACAATTAAAATTGTAATTTTTTAGCTAAAGAGGCTCCTTCTATCGATTCTAACAGTTTTCTTTTCAAACTGGGTCTCTCTTCACGTTGACGTTTAATGATCATAGGTAGAGGCAATTTAGGTCCAGCTGTAGGTGCAGGTTTATTACTAAAGTATGGCATTTGCAGTGCTTGGTCACATGTACATCTTTCTAATGGATTCACATTCAAAAAACTAGCAATTAAGTCAAGAAGATCATCGCCAGCAGCAGTAAATATATGCTTCAAAGGCATGCCAGGAAAGGGCTTGAATTGAATAAAATCTGGTAATTCAGTCATCCCCTGCCATGTTTCTTTCGTTGGAGTGCCTAATGTCTGAATAACAGAAATACATCAAGATTAAAGAAATAAAATACTTTTCGGTTATATATTTTAGACCAGGCCTATCCAATTTGAGCTTTAGATTCAAAATACAAAACCATCAATTCAGAAAAATTCAATGTAAGATTTCACGGACTATAAATTGTTGACAAGCGTCGATCAGACACATATCAATACTTTAGTCTCTGAAATCTTACCCATATTGATTTTTTGCTTCAATGGTTTTGTGTTTTGGCTCTAAAATTCAAATTAGATAGGCCAGTAGTTTAGATCAATGTATTAATACCTGAAATATTTTAGTGAGTTGATCTAAATCAGATTCACCAGGCAAAAATGGCACTCGCAACAGAAGCTCAGCTAATATACAGCCTACTGCCCACATATCAATTCCAGTCCCATAAAGTCTAGCACCGTAAAGTAATTCAGGCGCTCTGTACCATCTCGTGACTACTTGATGAGTATTTATCCGGTTAGGTGACCCGAAAAATTTCGCCAGGCCAAAATCTCCAATTTTCAGAACACCTTCTGAATTTACCAGTAAATTATTTGGCTTTAGATCTCTGTGGAGTATCCAATTGAAATGAAGATAGTCAAGGCCTTGTAAGGTTTGAATCATATATGTCTTTATGTTGGCTGCGGTTAAAACTATATTGCTATCTTTTATTATCACTTCCAGATCAGTGTCCATGAAATCAAATACTAACGATACATTTGATTTATAACCAAAAACATCTAGAAGTTTAATATATATATATATATGTATGTATAATTATTAAATATGTACATATATAATCATATCAAAATTAATGTTTATGCAAACTATATTATAGTCTGCAGGTTTGCATATTATTTGCTTTTACAAGTTATTAAAATTTTCTACATATAAGAATTAAATACCTAACAAGCCAATGATATTGTCATGCTTTAACTCTTGCAGCAATTTAATTTCTCGTAAAGCAGTCCGATTTATGCCATCTCTAGCTTCAGCACGACTTCCAACTTTAATCTATATTCACAAATATAAAAAGTTTGTAATACAAATTGTATAAGTCGTAGAAATGTATATTTTTCATAATGAGGAAACTAACCTTTTTTACAGCCACAATTTTATTCGTCTCTATGTCTTTTGCCTTGTAAACCGTGGCGAACTAAAGTAGACAACACAATTTCTCTACATTTATGTTTATTACATTTTTATAATTAATAATTGAATTATATTGCAGTTATAAACAAAGCTATGTATGTAAATATTATATGCCTTAAATATTTAAAAAATGGGTATCATGTAATTATACGCTATTACAAATAAAATTTATGTAATGCATAAAAGCGTTATAAAAATAAATAAATATACGATACAGTATAAACTAATTATAAAAAAGGTAAAAAACGTTCTAACCTGTCCTTCACCCAGAAAATCGATTTTCTCATATCTCCGTACTTTTTCCGTCATCGTCAGCAAAAGTTTACTCCAGTTTATTCCAAAAGTTTATACAAGTTGTTTTTTCTTAAATATCTTATTTTCAAATGATACGTCTTGTATAATACACCACTATTCTTATTGGACAATACGTGTTTATATGACAACCAAAAAAAAGCACGCAAAAAACACAAATGAACATATGCTGGATTCACACTGCATCCGATTTGCGTCGTACGACACTCTTCAACCAATCAGAAAACAGGATTTCGATGGATTTTGCATGGAAAAGAAGAATTTCGATTGGTTGATTCTCTTATGCACTATGCGTTATGCGTTATGCAAAAGCTTGTGTCTGGGCCTTTAAAATGTCGATGACGACCTAACCCAACCGACTGAACCGATGCAATGTCGCATCTCTGTTATCTAGGCCTCTACGTCTAACTAAATGGGAACAGTTCGATCCAAGTGCAGTCAATAAGTATCAAGAGTTTCTCGCACAGATCTTGCACATTGCGAAAAATTGTCGGGTAAATGGCGGGTCATAATTATCTGAGCGATCCAAAAAATCCGTTTTTCTCATTAGAGGATGACGTGGACGATGAGACGTTTCTAAGGAACGCTCCAGTCAGAAGTGTACCCGCGGGGCGTTATCAGAATTTTGATAATGATTTTACGCAAACACGCCAACAATTGCTGCAACGTAAGAAGGAAATCGAGGAAAACACGGTACAGTCTTCAGAAAGATCTGTTTCGCTTCTAAGAGACTCGGAGCAAATTGGTGTAGCTACAGCCGAGGTAATTGTAATGATGCACCATCAGTTTACTATCGTTACTAGTATGCTGATAGTATGACAACTGACAGAAAATTTATATCTGCTTAACATATTCAATAAATAAATTAATTTTGATTTTTCTATGACACTTAGGCCCGATTTCACAATATATGGTTACCTAAAGATTAAAGATAACCAAGAAATTCATGAAGCTTTTTCTCTTGGGATACACTGGATGCAGCCTCGCACTGCACCAGTTGCATGTAAGCGCTACACTCAGCTACACTATACTAGAATGGTGCACACCATGATGTACACTATATTATTATTGCGCTAAAACCCTATTCCCGCTTGACTTTTATTTTCAAATTTTAAATGTTACACTGGCTCTACACCGTCCTTTTGAGACGGTGTAGCAAAATCCCACTTTGTGCACAAAATCTGCACTACACCGTAGCCACGGAAAACAGATTCATTAATGAACTTTATAGTGTTTTCTCTTGGCTCCATTATCGCCCCACTAGTGCAACACTCAGACAGTGTATCATGTTTCCATGGCTGGTGGTAAGCGAATGAGTTCATTAATGAATAAATTTCATTAATGAATCTGTTGGTAATCTTTAATCTTTAGGTAACCATATGTTGTGAAAACGGGTCTTATTGTATTATAAATATATATAAACTATTATTTAAATTTATCTTTCCAGGAATTAATCAGACAAAAGGAACAGCTGCAGAGGACAGAAAAAAGATTAGATGATATTAACAGTACATTAAGATTTAGCCAAAAACACATACAGGGCATAAAAAGTGTATTTGGTAGTCTGAAAAATTATCTCAGTGGCAAATCTTTAGATGCTCCGATACCATCCACAAAGTTGTCAGAATCTTCCAGTTCTGGATCTATGACATCTCCTGCATTGTCTAACACATTAGAACAAGTACAAAGCAACATAAACAATTCATATTCATCAACAATGTTAAGAGGAAGTTATGATGACCATAATCTGGAAGATGTTAAACCTGCTGGCGATAGAATAACTAAAGTTCTCGAACAGAATCTAAGTGAGATGAGTGGATCATTGGCAAGACTGAAACATCTAGCAATCGGTTTATCTGAAGAGATAGATTCACAGAATGATCTGATCGATAATATAACTGATAAAACAGAGAAAGCTGATATAATGTTGCAGCAACAAAATAAAGATATGTTACATTTATTGAAGAAATAAGTTTGACATCCGTCATATATCAAAAACTTTTTGCTTATAATAATATATACTAACTGTACTTCTATGAAGTATAGATATATAGTACATGTTAAGCAACAGAACAAATTTTTCACATTAATTTGTATTGTTGAATCAGTGTATGTCAACCGTGCAATTGTATTGTTTATATAATTGCATTTTATAGACGTGTTTTATAGAGTTTTTCACAAAGCAAGATTATGCAATCTTTACATAATAATTACAATGAAACCTATAGAACATGTTTGTTATTAGAGATCATGATCTTTCATAAGGAAAAGCTTTTTCTTTTGCAATTGTCTGTACTATAAAACTGAACGTGATATCTTTACGTGCGAATATTAAATAAAGATGTTTTCATTATTTCTTAAGATCTTTTGTAATCTTTTAAAATGAGAACTGTGATAAATGTACACACATATATGTATTTCTGTATATAATAATTCTCCTAAATAGATCTTGATTTATTAAAAGTATATAAACTTATAATTTACTGAAGAAATAAAAAGATTGCAAAATTGTATACGTGAACATATTTATATAATGATGAGAAAATTATAATTTATATTATTTTTATTAGTTTTATGTAAAGTATTTATTGTTGTATAAATAAATTGAATAACATTATAAAGAACAATAAGATTCGATAATAATAAAACAAATAATTCGAAGGGCTACGAGCCAGAGATACAAAACAAAGAAAGTATATTTTAAAACATTATAAATATAAAATCCCAACAGACAAACAAACGTTTCGACACCAATCGGGTCATTCTCAATGTTAACAAAAAAGTTTAAATATTATAATATTACAAACTGCAAATTATATAAGATTTCCATAACTTAATACGTGTGTAAAGTGATGTGAATGCGCAATATTTGCTGAAATGCTTGCAAAGATCTAGTCATTTTTGTTGTCCTTCAATATAATCCAAAACTCAATTAATAATGGCATTTTGCTTGTGTTCTTGTAAACGTTGTCCTTTCTTATAAAAATATTCAGTCAAAAGTTAAAAATCTCATAGTAGTCATGAAAAGCCTTGGAAGCATTACAACAGTGCAGAAGTTAACAAGATCTATAAAACCCGTATAAAGTAACCGTAACAATTGAAGATAACACTATTATGCAACTGTAAGGATAAACAAAATTTTTTAAAAGTAAAATTACTTTCATAAGTAAAGAGTTTAAATCTCATTAAAAGAAGAAATTAGCAATCACTTATAGACTTCCATCTTAGATTGGAGCAAATTGCAATGAAAAAAAGATATGCTTAGACTATGGCTGTGTTCAGCAGAACACAATAGTTTTGCAACCGTTTTATGATTCTCTGCTGAGATTGGACCATTCCTCTTAATCTAAAAGCGACCACCGAGGCGGTCTAATGGCTTAGGACGCTCTTCGATATCGAGAATTTAGAAATCAGATCGAAATCGAGCCCGAAACCAAGATAGTCTCGTTTCGTCGAGACGAGACCGAAACATTAGATATTACAAATCAAAAGTTAAGTTAAAATATATGGAGTCATATAAACGTTTCTAAAACAATGATATTTATTTCGCAAGACGATTATAATTCATAAACAGTTGTAAAGACGTTTCAAAATCTTGTAATGAGTATTACAAGACGACTAACATAAATAAAGGTTCTAAAGACGATACAAAATCTTAAAATGAATATCATATAATGATTAATTTGTACGAAGTCGTATGGACGTTATAAAAAATTCAAATAGTTGTATAATTGACATTAACTATTTTTGTCGTATAATTTTCCGATATGTGAGCTGTACAAACGTTTTATGGAGTTATAAGAACTTTTTCACAACTTTGTGTTCCTTGGGGTAATACTCAATCTCGTAAAAATTGTTTAATATACATATGTTCCTCTTACATCGTTTATAAATATACGCGTTTATATTTTTAGAAACCTACAAAATACAGAGACTTATTTTTATATTTATATTTATATTTAGAAACAAAGTGTGGATTTCCTTAATTTTGTTTATTCATATACATATATATGTAAAGATTTTTCTAATTTTATCATACTAAGAATCTGTTAGTAAAGAATAATAGTTATGGAGGTAATATATTTTTCAGTTTCTTCCAGGCTGTCTACAATTTTTTAGATCCATCCGTATTGTGGTCTAATATTGTTTAGTGTTATTTGCCTAAAACAAATAATATTTTAATTATTAAAAATAAAAATTGATATATGTGTGTTTGATTTATTTAATATATGTACAGACTGCTGCCAATACCTACAGATCAGTAAGTCGGGTTGCCTATTTGCCTGGGCAGGGGCACGCTTTATTAGTATAATGCGGAATAAGATTAGATCGTAAGTTCGGCAGGGAATGAAACAAAAGAAATTGAATTTTACATTCTGGTATAGTATAAAATTCAATAATATGATATGAAATATGTATTTAATAATACAAATAATATCTGACTTAATCTAACATAAATGAAATTTAATAAAAGTCAGATATTATATATATATTTGTATTATTAAATATATACATATTTTATATCATATTATATTGAATTTTACACTATATCAGAATGTAAAATTGAATTTCTCTTGTCTCATTTCTCGCCGAAATTGCGATCTAATCTTATTCCGCATTATCAGTAACGCGTGCCCCTGGCCATAGGCTAATAGACAACCCGACTTATTGATCTGTAGGTATCTGCAGCACTTTGTACATATGTATGATAGTTAATATATACATCTCGTCGGTGATTATACTTATTTATACATTTTGTATAAATTATCATCTATCCGGAACCAGTGACATTGGCAGACTGATTTCCACAAGCTATTTTCTTCATCCCAAAAACAGATTTTTTTATGTTCATGCCCATTGTCGCCTAGAAAAGTGTATATGCGTAAGTAGCAAGAGTTTTGTTTGTTTGTTCGCGTGCGTGTACGCGCGCTTGCATGTGTGTAATATTTATATTTAATAATATATTTTTTCATTTTTAAGTAAACACGCAGATCATGTACGTATCTAACAAGGAATTAATATTGCTTGACATTTTATTATGATACTGAATAATAAAAGTTATTTTTATATCAAAAGAATGTAAAGTTGTATTTTGCTTATCTATATGCCTTTAAAATCATAATTCTTACCATGATGCCTATGAGAAAGAAATAGAATAATTTGCCGAATAACTTCATCTTTCACTGGAATATTTGTTCGGACTAATATCGTACACGCAGAACATTCCTTTTATATGATCACAGTACGATTATGATGTATTTTTCATTGACAACATATCTTTCATCAAAAATGTTTTTTGTTTGCTCAATAGCGTTTCCGGCACTTCCGCAAACAATAACTAGTTTCAAAGTTGACCGTATCAGTCATTCGCACATATATGTATGTACAATCATGTAAATGAATCATTATATGCGAAAAACAAATAACAAAAGAAAAACAACGTATAACAATCATTATTTTTTTTTGTTGTTTGTTGGGCTTCATAAAATAACAGAACATACTGCACAATAGAGTATTACACAACAAATTTATACTGTAAAAGTTATATACAGGATATTCGGAAAGTGTCGGAACACCTGCATATCATGGAAAGTATAAGTATCACAGAAAAGTGTTTCAGACAAAAGTTGTAGGGTTCAAAAAGATCTATTTACTGATCCGTTCGACCTTGGATAGCGTCGCCAAGGTCAGGTCACATCAATTTTTTAAAATGGAACACCCCATTTTTCATTGCATATTCTTATAGCACATCTCGAGAGCTTTCCAAAACACACTATAATAAAATATTTTTTCATTAAATACTTTTTGAATTATGAGGCTTGAAAGTCACAGTATGTACCGACATTAACATTACCCAAAGTATCCGACCGATGGCTAAAATCTCTTGAACGTTGTTCAGAATCACGATCTGGATAACATTTGTCAAGATCAAAACTGTTGGAGGTTGTACTTCTTATTTTCATTTTTACGTAGAAATCAATTTTTAGTGAAAATTGGAGGAACAATCTCCAACGAATGTGGATTAGTTGATAGGGTGGCTTTGCTTTCGAATCCTAAATTCCACTTTGATAATTTGTGTTTCGTAATTAAAGTATTGTTAGAGAATGATTTACTTTGAGCTTTATGTTTAAGAATATTAACAACCGTTTGAAGAACATTATTATGACTAGTAATAGGAAGAGCGTTATTAATGATAATAGCGTTGATGTAGTGTGGCCTTCGTGGTTCACTGTCCTTTTCGTTCGTGGTATTACTGAAAAGTTTAGTAGATTGAATAGCGAGCATATGAGGGTATCGTTTTATAGTATTAATAAATTGCGAGAATTTATTAGGATGCATAAGGATCCCTTACCGCATGATAAGAAGTTGAAGGATGTTTATAAGATTTCGTGTAAGAGTTGCGAGGCGAGTTATATGGAATAAACGTGTAGACAACTGAAATCAAGAATCACAGAACATAAGAACTACATCCGATGGAATACGTCTACCCGCAATGTTATAACGAAACATCGGTTGTAAGAAGGACATTATTTTTACTGAGACAACGTTGCAATATTGGATGAGGAACCTCATTACAGGAAGAGATTGATTTCAGAGATGATATTCATCAGGAGAGAAACGCATGGACTCAACCTGCAGACGGATATGGAGGGGCTTCCGAAGGCCTACGTCTCGATTATAGATAAACTATAAAAGCTCGAGTTGTTGTCACATCTTGTCAGTCGTTCGTACACAGTAATGAGTCCTTCTGGCGAGATTTCTGATCACTTCACAGCTTTCATTTTCTTGAAATTGACAAACGTTTTAATGTTGGATTTTTCCATTTATCTCGAAAAATACTAGCTAATAACTAAAAAGTGACTCACCGTGTCTGATATACCAACTAGCCAATAATCAGGAATCGGTTTTTAAATTATTCATGGTAATGTTTGCGATATGGTGCTTTGTAATTGTGGTGAGCGTCCTTATTTTCGGGATAATTAATTATATTCTTAAAGTTTTTTGATAAATTAGTTTCCATATTCTCTAATTCGACATTTTCAATATTTCCCTTCTTTTTTATTTTCCTTTTTTTCCTTTCTTTTTTTTTTATGTTTAATTCTGACATTTAAATTCT